AGCCTGCTGTAATTTGGGGCTCCAAATATGAGTTAGAAAGCAGTCATTGTCTAATGAACCCCCTTTATTCAACAGGGTTTAAAAACAAACATAATAAAAAGAACTAGGAAGTAATTTGGCGTGATAAAATCGATCTATGAAGCAAAGTCAACTACATCTATGTTCTCAGAGTTCCTATCTTTTCTTCGTTTTTAGGGATACTCGGGACACAGGCAGTTAACAGATAAATTCCAAGAAAAGCAAATTGCGAAATAACTAAAGATCATCCTATGAATAAAACAAACGAACGAGTTGATCTACTGGATTGTTGGGAATAACTGATTCTTTAGAATGAAAGAATTGAACAGTGACCAAGAAGTGTATGGAAATGCACGTTATTTTACTTTTAGGAATTTCTGGCCTGTTTTCCTTTGTGCAATTGTCTTTTCTGGTTTCTTGGTATGAAATCGAGTTTCCATCATAATCAAGTAGACACCCTCCAAGAGCCACGCTTTTCTTCGTTGTTTTCCATCCCAAATTTTTAATTTTAGGTCAAAACGAAACTTGCAATAAAAATGCGCTTCAAATGTAATTTCTACTTACATACAGGGATTAAATGCTCGCATTTTCCTTTTCTTTAAACCATATCAATTCCTATCACAATAAATGGCGTTAACGCTACCCATAATAAAAGATGCCAACCCTCAGCCCGAAAAAAAAAATCAAAATCAAATAAAAATTAAATCTACTTAACAAAATGGATTCCATGTTGCCGTCCTTCGTTCCTGTAATTGATTACAGATGACGTTAGAACTTGATGAGAACGAAACGATTCGATTCAGCAACATCTTAAAACTGTTTGTGAATAGACTTGTTCTTCCTCTGATACTTCCTCGTCACTATTCGAATATATTGCGGGTCAACTAAGTTGGCAGCAGGGCACTAAAGTACTGCGTGTACTTGACGAACTTGTAAATATAACATTAGCTTCTTAACTGACAGAACTCTGCCGCTATGAATTAGTTTTACTATGCGTTTAATAATATCGAGGTCAAACGCTTTCGAAAAACGATATTTGCCACACAAAGAATTCAAAATACAATTATATCTTATACTGTTAATATAGGTTTGAGCTGTTATACTCTATTTCTTTTCTTGTAGAGACAGTTTGCTTGTGAGAGAAAACGAAAGTGAAAAAAGTAGGAATTCTGATAAGGACAGATCTATTTTAATGCTGCGAGCGACGATTTCATTGTTTCCTACCACTTGTACTTACTATTCAGTCGTGGTCAAAATAGAGCTATTCCACTCTTCAAGTTTTAATAGTTCTTATCTTTTTCGCAAGTGTACAGACCACATTGCTAAAATACATGCACTGAAGGAATTTTTTTGACGTAGAGGTCAAATTCGATTTGAAGAAAGCCTGCTGCTTGCATAAAAGGCTAAATCGGGACTTCATTGCAATTGCATAAATCTAATCAGATGTAAACAAAACTGAAACGCAACGTGTTCTACATATTCACGGGAAACCACGATCTTTTAAACCTATTGTGTATGGAACAATTGTTTCATTACTTGTTGACAATGTTATTTAAAGAAGACTTTTCAAGACCAAGCTTTGGGTTACACCGCTGTCTCTTTCAAGATGTCTCGTTTCATTTATCATTTCACAGCTATGTGTTTGCTTTAACCTTTTAAATACCGTGGCTCTAGAGTAAGATAGTTTGGACGTTTAACGGACGTGTGTGTTGAGATTTTCTTCTTTATTGTTTTGTTTTGTTTTGTTTTTTTTTTTGGTTGACATTCAGTGTATTTACTCTTCTTCAATCATAAATCGTATAGAGAATGTATTCAGGTTATTTTCGCAAAGTTTAGCTAACCTTGCTTTCTTTTCATCGTGTTAATTGTTTGGACAGAACAAATTTAACTGAATATAACTAAACGTCGTTTTTTAGTTTATGAAAGTTGGAAAGATCGAAATCGCAGTGGTTGATCACAAGAGGTACTAACGGGTAATATCCAGAGCGTGAGATAAAAATGCTATGAGCATGTGGCCCATTTTTATCATGTGGCTTTATTAACTTTCCCGAAAATAATATCCAAGAAGACCCTGGCAGATAGATCGTTTAGTTGTGCCGCCCCTAGACTTTGGAATCTGCTTCCTACCACAATAAGATCTATTTCCACTTTAGATATTTTTAAAATTAAACTTAAAACTTTTTTATTTTAGAGGGCGTTTAATTAGTTACTATAGTTGTTATGATTAAATTGCATTATTGATGAATTATTTTATTTATTTATTTATTTATGGAATTTTAGAAATGTAATTTTGAACTTCTATTTTATTTTTGATTTAATATTTATTGTAAGGCGCAGTTGAATATTTTTATAGAAACTGCGCGGTATAAATTTAAATTTAATAATAATAATAATAATAATTTTCCATCCTTCTATCTGCACAGCTTGAAACAGCCACCATGACTACACGATTACGCTGTGACTTCTCATACCAACTGAGTATTTGTTAAGTATTTTGCAATGATTTATCTTTGCTTTTCTTCAGGCTTTATAGTTTTTTGGTTTTATTTTTGTTTTGTTTTGTCTTTTTTTTTTTTTTTTCACCCTTTCAAGGAGTGACCCTATGAAACTTGTGAAGAGCGAGCGACAAATATTAAAATCAACGTACCTTTGCAGATGGCTGTCGTATTTTGGAATTCAAGCCAGATATGAAAGATTTTAGTCAGCAAGGTTTCGTTATCAAGAGCGTCGAGGTACAAAGAGAAAGTGAATGTAAAGCGAGATGCTTTCCATTCAGGAACACAACTGCGTGTCTCTTAACATTGGTCCCTTGGGAGAAATTGGAGCTTACCCGTGTGAACATAGTGATTCTGATGATTAGGTGCACTCTGAGGCGCTCAAGAAAAAAGATGACTTCGCTTACCAGTCGACTGTGGTAAGTTTCTAAGCATGCAATATATAAAACTTCATTTTTTCCAGCCTTTTTTTACACTTTGACTTTACTGAGGCAATTACGTGTTCTGAAAGGAAGGTGTCCAAACAATATGGGGTCAATAGAGATCGTTTTGCTTTTATTCATGCAACATGAATTTCTCACTTTTACATAGATTTTCTTCTATGTATGTAGTTCGACTCTGGAGCATTCTACAGGTTATGTTAGTAAGTTTGCGAAGCTCAGCGTAAGACCTCTGTAATATGAACGAATAACAAACAAATACTTTAAGTAAAGCAGTGATCCTCACAGGTGAGCTGTTAAGCAATTGCAGAGTAGAAGCCTGAAAAAAACCTAGACTTCCACGGGGACTCGAATCCGTACCTCCTTGATACTAGTTGGTGCTGCTGTTGTAGAGTATTTTAAAGGATTGCTATTTCGAGTATTTTTAAGTTTACCTTTGTTTTGATAATCTGGCCTTTTTGCGTCTACCTGTTGTTTTGGTAGATCTATAGTTTTGATCTTTTACTTTTAGTGTGCACTTGAACTTGGCTAAGTTCGCGGGTTTCCTTCTTGTCGTGCTAGACATTTTAATCGCTTGTTATGGTCGAGAATAACCATGTCATGTTTGGGTTGGTAAAGCTGAGCTTGAGTTTTACTCACACTGAATATCCTGTTTTGGAAATTCCCACGGTCAGCTAACCCAAACGCGTCTGTGATTTTTACATTAAATGAGAGGGCACTCCTTGCTGACGTTAGAGGAGAAATAGCTGTGGTAGTAGAAGGTAGTAGCAACAATAGAAGAGTAGGGAATAAAGAAGACATTTACAGAGTCTTGGTACCTCTTGTTAATTCGCTAAGCGAGTGGTAAAAAACACCCCAACACCAACTATTAACTGAGCTATGAAGACACACATTGGATTGCGGGCATATTTCAGAGGGTTCTTCTTTCCCTTGGAGGAAGCTGATCATATTTTGAATGAAATAAATGTAATTCTACCTACGGATGAAAATGAAGTAAGCACGGGGCTTCGCAGGTGACCTGCATTTAAACAGGTAAAGCCCCGTTTAAGTTTAAATTTGATGACGTAGAGGACAGGGATTCCTCACATAAGCGTTCTAAAATCACTCAATTCATATAGGTAGGCTCCATTTTCCCGCGGAAGTGTTTGGATTGGAAGCCAACAAACAGACCATCGTGTGTGTGTGTGTGTGTGTTTTTCTGTATGTAATAATGACACGCATGCTGAATACATTCGCCAAAATAGCGTTAAAACGACTGCAAGCGATAAAAGGAGCTACGAAATAAACGTTATTCCTCGCTTTCATTGTCTTTTTAATTTGTTTCTATTTTTTCATAGATTTTTTGCCTTTTTGACAGTCCACGCTCACACTTAAAAATTCAGTCCTAATATTAAAGTTATTAACGTTTACGACCTTTAGACCTCAAAATCACATACAGTACGATTGGACCGCTTGTGGAAAAAAGTGTTATGAGAGCGAATTCGGTATTGAGTGAGATTTCAATGCATTCTATCAATTATGTTCAATAGTCATTCGCCAACGTAGAACCATTCACCCCACTAAGATTTAGTTTTTTGTTACTCCCATCTAAATCTTATGTTTAATTTACGATCTGTGTTGTTAAACTAAATGGGCTGAGGCGAATTTGATTAGCTTTGATTAGATTTGATTTGCGAATTTGATAGCTTTTACGCAGAGAGCAAATTAGATTGGCGAAAAAACCTCTTGCATATGAAGCTACAAAGCCCTCACCGGGATTTCACGTCATGCATCATCTTTTATTTAGAGGTAGTTCCAAGCTCACACCATTACTCTACTAAGATATCAATACACTAAGTCAAGAGTCAATGAGTTAACGGGTATTACAATCCACGGGAAACCATGATATTTTCAAACTATTGGCTATGGAACGATTGTTTCCTTAATTGACGAGAATGCAATATATATGATTCTAAGAGGAAGTGTTTTCAGTTCTAAGCCTTGGAATGAAGTGTATACACGGAGTTGTTCTCGATACTTTTCGTGGTACATTTCTTTCCTTCCCAAGATGTCTCGCCTCACTTTAATTCTTCAGCTATGCGTTTTCCTAATTCCTTCAACGGCTGTGGCTGAAGATGGTATGATATACTTTGGACGTTTAACAAACTTTTGTGCTGAATCGCCAAACGAAACTAGTGGCTATACTTATTACGTAAGAAGAGCAACATAAATTTTAACCGAAGAGGGGATTTAATCATGGATTATTCTGTTTACATCCGTCGGGTAATAGTTGTTCACGGAAGTTTTAAGACTTGATAACATCACTGTGGTAGTAGAGATCATTATAAGAAGAGATCTTCATTTTTTGTGATGCTGCACGCACACTATTCGCAAACAAGAACATTTACTCGATTCAGGAAAAGAAATTCACAATTTCACTTACTGCTACATTACATTCGTCAGAGATTATTTGATTTGAGTTTAGCGCTAAGAAAGAAGTGCCTGATTTGATCGGAATTTTGCGTGTTAGAAATAGCGACTGATATTGAATTTAATTTCCAATGCCCTTTACTACTTTGTTTTGCTGTCGTCTTTTTTTTACCTTTTTTTTGCTATCCATATTCAGAGTATTCACTTCTTGCTTCTTCAATCATACACCATATAAAGGCACTTATGAGTTATATTCGGAGTGTGAGATAAGTGTTTCATGAACATGTGTCCTGTTTCTATATCTTTTTTACTTGCACAGCTTGAATCAGCCACCATTGTTACATTGTAACTTCCCTTGCTAAACTGTATGTTTGTTTAATTTAAGATGTTTTGTTTGTTTGTTAGCGTTTGCTATCGTCTTTGTGGTTGTTTTTTTTTTCTCTTTTGAGTTTCTTCTTATTTTTGCGTTGTTTGTTGTTTATGTTTGTCTGTTTGTTTCGTTTAAGGGACGATGATCTGACTTTTAAAAAAAAATAGGACATTGGAAAATAGAAATAGATGATTTAGTTTTTGGGTAGGCTCACTTATTAAAGAAAAAAAAGCAATCTTGTTTTTAGGGAGATCTTTCACAGGAATTGTATAGGGGTATTCACGTGAAAATATTAGAATTAATATTACTCTTTTTCTCCATTATATTAGTATCCCATTCGACTCCAACAGAGCAGGAAACCTCCATGACACCTAGTGGTAATATGAATGACTATTTTGCGTGCTTGTCATTTGATCATAAATTCGGAAGAATGGTAGTGTGCAGTCGAAACAACAATAAAAGAAGTTACATCGAAATACACCGAGAACTACACTCATTTGGACCTTTCTGTTTTCTTCAAAAACAAACTACGACATTGCAAAATAGAAATGGATAGTTTTTGGGGGGGCAGGTCCAATTATTAAAAAAAATTAAATTTCCCTTTTTAACAGACCCTTCATGGAAACTGTACTGGGCCTGCGACAAAAACGTTATATCTATGACTTTTGTTTTCGCAGATGATTGTCGTATTTTGAAATTCAACCCAGAATTGAAAGACTTTTCCCTGCAAGGTTTCGTTATCAAGAGCGTCGAGGTACAAAGAGAAAGTGTATGTAAAGTGAGATGCTTTCAGGAACACAACTGTTTGTCTCTCAACATTGGTCCCTCGGAGGAAAATGGAGCTTATCTGTGTGAACTGAGTGATTCTGATCATGAGATGCATCCTGAGGCGCTCAAGCCAATAGATGGCTTCAACTATCACTCAACTGAGGTTAGCTTCCTTAACAAGCAAGATTTAAAACAGTTCACAATGTGCAATGAACTTATTGAGTCTGATTTATTGAGGTGGTTTGCAATGAAAGGAGAGCGACCATATGATATGGAATCTTCTCAAGTTAAGATCACTTTGTCATATTTTTATTCAACATAGATCTTTTTCTTTCCTTTGATGCATTCGTAGCTCGAAACTGTAACTTTTTGTACTCTCTTATGAGCTTGCGAAGGTCAGCATGAGACTCCTGAAAAACATTATGAGAAGCAAATACTTAGAACCACATTTGGTGTTTTAAATCTTAGAACGCTTGTGCGAAGAATCCCTGTCCTCTACATCACTCCTGTCAAAATGGCTTTACGTATAAAGGTTACCGGTGTGAAGGTAATGGTAAAAAAATTGAAACTTTTTTTTCCCAATTGCTAAATATCGGCATTCTTTTATAACCTCATCAATAATTTTTCTTTTTGTTTGTTTGTTTGTTTTTTCATTGATGGTTACATGCAAGGCAAAAAAATATCTACTAGGATAATAATCACAACGATAATAAAAAGACTCTCCTCCCACTGGTTACCTACAACCTTATTTTTTTCTAATAAAAATAACAGGCAAGTTACTATTTTTCAGCACTTGCCAATTCAGCCCCAAACGAGCTGGAAACGTCCACAACACCTGCTGGTAATATGATTGACTACTTTGTATGTTTTTGTCATTTAATTGTGATCGTGACGATTTTCTTTTCCTTAGGTGGTGAGTATAATAGCGTTCTTTAGATAATGCAAATACGCTGGACCTTAACGCCGGAAAAAAAAACTAGCAGTGTGCAGTTGAAAAGGTTGTATTTCCCATTGGAAGCGACACCCTCGAGAGACAAACGATAACACCTCATAGCAAGGGTATACACCACTTTCCTTTTTCATCCTCGGAGACCCAGGGGCTGAGTCGATTTCAAGTTAGGGCATGAAGAGCCCCTGGGGACATTGTCTTACAAGACTAGTTCCAAACGGTCGCAGTCGTTCTGCCATCTGATTGGTGCCAGAAAATCTTTGTGTTTTTCTGCCCAATCAGAGTGAAGTGTGCTTTAGAGTCCTTTCGTGTGTTTTAACACGGACATATACTAGTAGCCCAGTTGCTCGCCATGTTTGTTTGGACCGTGCGACAGAGATTTGCTTGAGATGAAAAGTTTCAGTCTCGGCACACAAAGTAAGAGAAATCGATCAGATTGTCCGCGAAAATCTTATCGGAAGTTATAGTGAATACTTTCGCAGGTATCACTAGAAGTTATTTCGTCGCACGGGCCACGCAGGTATGTCGAGCAACTGGCGCTTTCGCCTACGTAGCTTTCTGCTTTCTCTGCGCGCCAAAATCTAATCTTAGTAGTAAAGTCATTCACAATACGGCCAAGGTTGCAGAGAACGTTAAGTTCGTGGACGACCTCCAGCAAGTGCTAAGAGAAAGCTTAGCTGTGTTTCCGGTTTGCTAATTAAAATCTGAACAAAAACTTATTAACGAGAACATCGTGGGAAGGAGAGATGTTTTCGGGCAGTTACCGAAGGGGTTTGGAAAGAGTTTAATCTTTCAACTGCTGTCTAGAGTGTTGAAATTCTTGAGCTAGGAAGGCCACGGATTCTCTTCTAGTCCCTNACGATGTTCTCGTTAATAAGTTTTTGTTCAGATTTTAATTAGCAAACCGGAAACACAGCTAAGCTTTCTCTTAGCACTTGCTGGAGGTCGTCCACGAACTTAACGTTCTCTGCAACCTTGGCCGTATTGTGAATGACTTTACTACTAAGATTAGATTTTGGCGCGCAGAGAAAGCAGAAAGCTACGTAGGCGAAAGCGCCAGTTGCTCGACATACCTGCGTGGCCCGTGCGACGAAATAACTTCTAGTGATACCTGCGAAAGTATTCACTATAACTTCCGATAAGATTTTCGCGGACAATCTGATCGATTTCTCTTACTTTGTGTGCCGAGACTGAAACTTTTCATCTCAAGCAAATCTCTGTCGCACGGTCCAAACAAACATGGCGAGCAACTGGGCTACTAGTATATGTCCGTGTTAAAACACACGAAAGGACTCTAAAGCACACTTCACTCTGATTGGGCAGAAAAACACAAAGATTTTCTGGCACCAATCAGATGGCAGAACGACTGCGACCGTTTGGAACTAGTCTTGTAAGACAATGTCCCCAGGGGCTCTTCATGCCCTAACTTGAAATCGACTCAGCCCCTGGGTCTCCGAGGATGTTCCTTTTCCAGACTTGCCAAGTACAACTCCAAAACAGGCAAATTCCTCCACGAAACCGAGTGGTAGTACATTTTTAACCGTGTATCTTCTGGGATATATTCAAAGCTACGCATATTTATTTATCATGGACAGAAACTAGAGCATAAAATGGTCCACTGTTTTCTCTAGTAACAAGTAGAGAAGAGCCTTCTTTTTAAAGCTAGACACTAAGAAGGAAATATCTTAACTCACTCTTTTCTGTTTATTCTTTTCACAGAGTTTTCTAGCTCAGCTTTAACTCCACCAACAATCTCCACGAGGCCAAGTAGTAATACTACTAAGTCAATCTTGGCCCTGCCGACAGTATCAAGTGCTGCTTTAACGTCTGCCGTTATCAATGGTAACCTTATTTGATCATAAAGGTTATATTGTGATAAGTTCACAATTACAATTGGCCAACGGCGTTCCCTAGTTGGGCCGAAATTCCTTCTGTAAATTGTTTGGTGGTTCTTACAACAGACAAGTTTACTCCTTCACAAACTCATACAGTTCAAAGTGGTCAATAGTGGGCAGATGATGTTCATAATAGGCCATTTCCGAATTACTAGGGCATTTTCGCATTAGGTTTGGTCTCTTTTTCAAAACAAGGCCTGGTGCTCAACCATAAGTATGAAAATGAGTTTAATTTGCATGTGAATGAAAACTTATTACCATACGAAAGGATGAGCACCAGGACTCGCTTTGAGAAGAGGCTAAAGGCAATTTAGAAATGGGCCATTTCCCTGGTTTAGTTTCTCCGTCTTTATTATTATTGGTTACAATGAATATATGAAGTTCATATATTTTGAACTGCGGTATTAGATACGTATGATGCACGATCCTCGCAGTAGATAGCGCTATTTATGCAATAGCGAAAATCAGGCTTGAAAAAAATCAGGCCTGTACGGGATTCGAACCACTGACCTCTGCGATACTAGTGCAGCGCTCAACCAATTGAGATAATAAGCCAACTGGCAGCAGGCCGTAAAGTTGATTCGTAATAAACCTGTGAAAGTGATTTATTACTTTCACGGGTTGGCTTGTTAGCTCAATTGGTGGAGCGCTGCACTAGTATCGCAGAGGTCAGTGGTTCGAATCCCGTACAGGCCTGATTTTTTTTCAGGTCTGATTTTCGCTATTGCTTAAATAGCGCTATCTACTGCGAGGATCGTGCATCATACGTATCTAATACCGCAGTTCAAAATATATGAACTTCAAATATTCATTGTATCTGATTTATCACTTTCACGGGTTTATTACGAATCAACTTAACGGCCTGCTCCCAGTTGGCTTGTTAGCTCAATTGGTAGAGCGCTGCACTAGTATCGCAGAGGTCAGTGGTTCGAATCCCGTACAGGCCTGAATAATTTTAGGCCTGATTTTCGCTATTGCATAAATAGCGCTATCTACTGCGAGGATCGTGCATCATACATATTTATTATTATTATTATTATCATTAATGTTATCGTTATTACAATTTTTGATATTATTACCACAATTATTGTCGTTATTGCATTGATAAAAAACATGTTACTTTATCTGTATAACTTAACAACTTGCATTAAAGATACTGACGAGTGCGCCAATAACAGTCAAGTTTGTGGTGTGAGGGCGAGATGCATAAACACTAAGACCTCCTATGGTTGTACCTGCAAGGAGGGACTTCATGTAACTGGAGGGTTTTGTTCAGGTAAATCGATCCTAAAACTTCCAAAAAAAGTGCTTCATTTGCCATCAGTTGCTTTACTTACTTCTTGAACAAATTAAAAGATATGAAATTTGTGACCAACTTTGGTGTGAAGGCAATGGCTGAGTGACGGCTAAATAAATAGAAACTCCCTAGTAATTGTGCCTCATTAAGCGAATACTAGGAAGAAATGGTCAAGCAAATGATATCGAACCTTACTTGCACGTTTTCCTAGATAAGTGGGTAGAAATGCTCTATGAGACTTCTCTCTCTTTTGTTGTGATTGCTTTAATTGTTCAATGTATGTCTACAAATTGTTTTCAGATCTCCGACAGAACTATGAAATTTTCAACACTCCAATCCACGATTTGAAAGTCAAAAGAAAGTACATATTATTGCTCATTGATCACGATTATGAACACTAAACCCCTGTCCATATATCTAGACTTTTTGCTAAGATACATCTAGATACCCTAGAAAAAAAAACAACAACAAATAAGCAAAATGAGCACTTAATTTACCAAGGTTGATTCGTAAAGGAAATAACGATGCCATTTGGCTTCAGTACTCAGTTAGCACCGAATCGCACAGGTCATGAATTCAACTCGCTAGCGAGCCTGACTTTATTCAGGCCTTATTTCTCGCTACTACTGAAATAGTGTTGCAAAGATCACTCTGATCTTGGACATAAATTCCATTAAATATTTAAACTAAAATCAAAGCCTTTCTTAAATACTTATACAGGTGCTGAATGTCGCACCATTATTTTCAAAACACCAATACACGACAAAGTCATGAAGGGCAACTTAATCAGAACTGTAGAGGTTTCGCATCAGGGAAGCTGTAACGAAATGTGTTATCAGGAGCCCAGCTGCGTTTCTATGAACTTTGGACCCGAGGCAGGGGGAAACTTCACCTGCGAGTTAAATCAGGATCATTCCTCAAAGGGAAATCAAAGCTCACCTGTTCTGCAAAGTAAAAAAGATCACATCTATCTTGCTATTGAGGTAAGATTAGTGATTCCTTACTGTGCAATTCCCAAAATCGTTTACGAGATGAGATGCAAAAGCTTCTGAGGGCCTCCTATCGGGTACGAAGCTCGAAAGACGACGTAGGCTCAATACGGTTAAGCTCTTTAAGTATCACAAGAACTTAAGGATAAGCAAAGTAATAGAAAATAATCACAGTAAACTGTCCATTTTGTTTTTAAACAGAATCCGTGTATCAGCAGTCCCTGCTTGAACAATGGCACGTGTCAAGCTGGCTACACTGTTAAAGGATTTCGGTGTAGATGTCCTCTTGGATTCACTGGCGCACGCTGTACGACTGGTAATTAATCATTAAAAAAATTAATGAAGTGAGTTTTAACTGTTAAAGAACTTTTCGTGAAATGAAATTTTCTGCAATTCGCCCAGCTTGCAGCTTTGATTTTGAAGATGGAATTGATGGATGGGAAATGACAGGCACAGCTTTTGTTTATCAGCCAACATTTGGTGACAATCCAGTAGCGCGCTTTAGAGAAAGCGCCCAGCACGAAGGTGACTGGTGGGTGGGGGGAGCTGAAAAACGACCCAGAGAGAGCGATTTCGCAGGACAGCAGCATCCAGAAGGAGCCGACGTACCCCAAGGAACTCTCACTTCACCTTGTTTTCGCATTGTAGGCAAGAATATCTCGTTTCTCATTGGTGGGGGATGTGACGTAAATGTTGTTCGTGCGGAGCTTATAGTCGACAACAAGGTGAGATCATGCACTTGATCATTATGTTCGTTTGATTCTTTTGAAACAGTCCAAGTAGACTGATTCAAGGTATCAGAGATTTGGTCTGTTAACATTGCCGGCAAAACCTTTTTGGGCTTCGTGATATCCCTAAAGTTCCTCTAAGTTTAAATCTTTACGGGGAAAAACATGTTTAAAAAGTAAACGACAAACATTTCCAACTCTAGGTCATCATCGGGGTGAACGATGATGAACTTAATGACCACCTAGTGTCGAAAACGTCTAGTTTTTACTTTGAAATATTTTTAGACTTAAAAATGGCTTATTTTGAGCTTTCTTAAGGAAGAGTCCATGACATAGCAAACCACGAGCCTGACACTTAATATTTCACTCTATTTGTCTTTCGCTTACCCCCCTTCAAAACGACAGTTCTTTTTCCCTAAGTTTAAAGATTGCAAGTCAATTAATGTATGATATAGTCATACTAGATGCGTCAGTAATCGTCTAAACTGTTTAAATTTGTTGTTACGCTTTAGGTCGTCAGAAACGAGACAGGAAACTGTTTGGAGACAATGTATCGTAAGAGCTGGGACGTAGAGGAGTTTATTGGTCATTACGCGAAAGTCAGACTCGTTGACGAGAAGATCTGTTGTTGGGGTCACATTAACTTTGATGACCTTAAAGGAGATATCATTTGTCCTCACGACTAACAAGATGATAAATTGGCAAGATAATCAGGGAATTACAAAAAGAAGCTACGCAGCTGCTTTTGAATATAATTAACTTGCTCACTAGCTTTGGACATGCGCTTTAGAAGTCGCATTAAACTCTCTTCCTGTAAATAACATATGGATATTTATACGTCGTATTAATATTATTAATATTAGTAATAGTTATCAAATCAGCTTGGCATGAGAGGGTTTTAAATAGACTTTGTGTTGAATTATTTAGATACAAACAGAGGTTGTTTCCACTGAACGACGATGGATCTCTGAAAACATAAAAAAAAAAAACACCTCTTCTGTTTCTACTAAGTAGGGAAAGAAATAGAGAGCTTTTCGACCGTAATATTGCCCTATTCATTCTTGTGAGAAACTCGCTCTTGCTCTAGTATTTGTGAAAAATGTCCATCATCCCTTGTGAAACGGACTGGGAGGAGATGGGCTGTCGGATTGTGCGACCTTGAATCATAATACTTCAAGCACTCAGTATTTTTTACGCTAAAAATTAATGTGTAAATATTGCTTTGTTTATGAAAATAAATAGAGACGGCAAGTTGTGCACGTTGGACATAATGGACGTATTGCGTGAAACAGAGGAGTGTGCCATCCTATTACCATCATCTATCACTTATCTTCACTTAAAAGATGCTTAAAAAACGCAAACAAAGGAACAGACGAGTTGGCTATGACATCGTGCCATTTTTATTGATTATTATTATCCGAATAATTTTCATCCGAGTACTTTTCATCCGAGTCGCAAGACTGGAAATTAACATTAAAACCAGAACATAGAGGCACACAGCATACATGAATGTCCTCCTACATGGCTCGGGCAACTGCCTCACGTAAAGACAATAAACTAGATTGAATTAAAACTGGATAGAAATTCCGATATTGTAGTGAGAATTTTAGCAGAGTTCTGATGGGACATGCAACCATTGAAAGAACACCTGGACTTCAAGAAAAAACGTATTACCCGTTTGATTTGTTGCCGCTATTGTTTTCCAGTTTTCTGGTTACTTGTTTTTTTTGTTTCTTTTTTTTTCCTTTTTTTTCCTGGTTTTTGGTTTTTGATTTGTTGCTTTGTTTTCCTTTCTTTACATTGCTATGTTGTTGTTTCTGTTCTGTTGATTATAATCATTCTTTTTTTTCTTTGGAGATCCGGCAGAGGAACTCAGAGATGGAGTCGTGAAAACTAGTAAGAATCAACATGATTCTCTCACTGAGAAAATTCGTATAATTATATCTTCTTAAGATTGCTATGAGCAGTCATAAATGACAAGCAGTTAAACAATTAAGGCCCCTCCCACTAGAATTATTCCTATGAGAGGGATATCTCTCAAAATATTTACTTTATAATATCCTGTTCATTGTATCAGAAATAGAAGTGAAGAACTAAGTTTTGCATGCAATAGGTTTCAAGTTGTCACTAAATTTCATTTCAACGCCAACAAACACTAGTTTAGCAGCTTCTATGAAGAAAAAAATTTCAGCCGTGTTTAACAGAACGGCTTTAAAACATGCGTTGGTGGATATAGCTGAGAGGAGTTTCAATAGTGTTGAATTCGGATCTAGTCTCAGGCAAACGCAGTTACCCCATCACCGTAAAATATTAAGGTGCCATCTCTCTCCACAGGTAATGAAACTTATTGTAATAACAGATATGAAATTACTTTTTCTTTCAGAATTGGAAGACCCAGGGTGATTTAGATATAGATACCGCCGAAGTCGTAAGTAAAGCGCAGAGGAGGATTGATATGCGTGAATTTTGCAGAACTTTGAGACAATGTATAGAACAATAGTCATCCTATACAATAACGTCAAGACCAGGTTACTCTTTCATTATTCATATCATTATTCATATCATTAATTTCTTTTTTTTTTCTTATTGAATTGAAACTTCACAGAAACATACTACTAAATAGTGGAGAATGAACAATATTCACTATAATGGCAATAATATAATTTTGATAAAAGGAAAAAAAACTACGTAGTTTATAAGATCGTTTTAAATATACATAGATCTTAGTATCAGACGTTTTGTTGTGTAGTATCGCTGAGTATTTTTACTCCTTACTTTTATTTTGACTCGCCCTACGGGCTCGTCAAAATACGGCAAAACCCGTAAAAATACTCAGCGGTACTACAAAACAAAACGTCTAATAAGTTATTTATTATCCAACACGCCAAACTGCTATTTCAGTGCGGGCAAATTTCGCGGATATTTATTTACGGGTAGTGCGTGACAGAAGTATGCGAACCTGAACGGAATTGGCGCGTTGTCGTGTTGTTGTTTCAATGTAATTTTCTTTTATAAATGAAGAAATTTCCAGGTCGTCTAGCTGTTTTTCCTCGTTCCATTCATCTAATAGACTTGGATGTATATTTGCCAGCCATTCTGACTTTTCGTTGTCGGAAGTATGATTCCAATTGTCCGCCATTTTTTTTTTTCGTAACTACAGTTCAATTCTACGCTTGCACGATTCGAGAGAACCTGTTTAACCGGTACTCTAGAGCACAAATACCGCGTGATATTTGCATTCGTCTATGGCGTTATTTGTACTCTACGAAGTGTAGTTGGATAATAAGGATGAACAGTATTAACTTCTTACTAAATAAGCAGGAGGGCCTTATTAGGGAATATTGACTTGAGGTTGTGCCGGTGTTCTGTCTGTTTTCTTTTGTTTTATAGTCTGTTCTGTTCCGATTTGTTTTGCTTTGTTTCCTTTAATTTGTTCTGCTTCTTTTTTATTTATAGAAAATATATCCAGGACGTCTCGGATGTTTCAAGGGTAAGCGAAAAGTATGTACCAAACCGGACTACGGAGACGACAGTAAACTCCCGTATTTCTGCAAGTGCGTGTGTCAAGGTGAACACGCTCTTAGATTATTTATGTCAGAATAATTGAAAGGATGGATTGTTTTTTTACAAGTACTTTTGAATGTTTGATAATTTGCCTCATCAATGCATGGAACCACCTTGCCGGTGGCTAGGGGTGGATATTTACCCAGACCCACCCC